TTTTGTTGTTGTTATACATATACATATTGACTTTTGAGAATAAACAAGAAAATAAATTGAAACGATTTTATTATTAAGAGAGGGTCCATGAGACCATCGACCAAGCGTGCATCCGAAAATTTTTTTATTTTGAAATGAGTTAGACCATTTGAAAGAGCATAAAAAGTTATGTTAAAAACCAAATTATTAGCTCTTTCTGAAAATCCAATCACGAGATATTGAAAGATCTTTGGAAGCAACCTTAGATCCTATTTTATAAATTATTGAAAATTTTGATGAATTTCGGAGAATTCTATTTAACAATTTGTGATCACGTATATTAGTTTTGAAGACACCACTTATTTAGTATTACATAACGTATCTCGATTAGATCTATTTAATGAGCTATCATAGAACAAGAATTTCAAATATAAATTGTGTCTGCGGGGTCATTAATATGTTATTTTTTATTGAAAAAACAGGCAAAAATGACAATTTTTTATGAAATTTTTTAATATTTTTGCCCTAAAAGTGTATGAAAACAATTCTCTCCCAAAAATCTTTTACCACCAGGAGAGAGCTCGTGAAAAGCTGCATCTTCTCATGTAAAAAAATATTAAAAAATTTTTGGGGGGTTGATTCAACTTTTAACCACAAATGTGATCACTATATGGTGTTTTTTTTCTATTTTCATTAGTTTTTGTTTGATTTATGTAGAGTTTTGCAATAGTCTCGTGAATGAAGATGCATATATTAATTCGAATTCGTCTTCAATATTAAAATATGGATCTATTACTCTACGCAAAGAATATTCTATCATAATTAATAACTAAATTCAAGGTCTTCATATCTCATAACTTGTAAAATATATAATCGTTCAATACGAACTTTTCGTTAGACTGTACAGAAATAATACTCTTATTTCTAAATCAACTTCATCGTATTTTACTATCTAATTTGATCATCTATTGTTAAAAGCAATCAGTTACATTTTTCTCACTCTAATTAATATCTTTTGACATTGAAATTATTTCCATTAGAATGTACTCGACATGAAATATACTTCTATATTATTAAAATTTTTGCTAATCATTCGATTTAATGCATCCATGGTAAGTACAATATATATTTGTTTTGATTATTTCTTTATCAACATATCACTTCAACTACTAATTATTCATAATTATTTGAAATACAAATAACAAAGATATTCGATATAATATATACTAATTATTTCTCTAATTAATTTCTTAGATCTTCTAAAAATTTTTCATCTAAGATAAAATACAGAAAAATTAAAGTTCAATTGATTTCTTAGAACAATAACTCGGACAAACAATAATGAGCGCAAGAATAAAGACATGATACTTGTTGAGTTTGAATAGGTATAACATACAAGAATCATGGTACTCCTGGTTTAGATATGATAAGTAATGCGTTTAGAACAGTCTAATTAGAAGAACTGTTTTATACAGTAATACGAAAATTTAGTTATATATAGGTAGGAATGTTATGAATGAGTAGTATTAAACGAGATGGAATATGCATGTCCATCGTCGATACAAGTTGATGATTATAAATCATGGATTTATTATTCATCTCTATGGATACGAATATATTCTTACAATAACATATGTGTGTTATGATAAAAGCTATTTGCAATCCAGGTTACATTTTGTTATATGCTCTTTATTTGAGTGCGTAACTAGTCATACTTATCTTCCCTGTTGATAAGAGTTCAAATACTTATCAGTTTCCGTTCGTATAACACAAAATATGCTCAGTAGTACGTTGTTGTACTGTGAAATGAAAAAGCATGTTTTGTTTATATTTATCTATTATTATACGTGTGTCACTTATAGGTCATGTACAACTTTATTCAATATATCTAGAATTAGTTTTTAAAAATAATGATGCCTTTTTTATACCAATTAATCCTATGAATAAGCAAATAAAGAACAAGAAATTAGATGATATGTGAAACAGAAATAGTATATCTTAGAAGTTTAATCAAGAAAAACACAAATGAATAGTTTCTTATTTAATTCTTTTTCTACTTTCTTAAGATTTCTTTAGCTTTCTCTTGGAAAGCAGTCATTTCCTGAGCAGCAACTTCACCATCGTAATCGTTTGATTTATCTTCTATATCTTCGTCGCTATTATCCGAATTTACTTCTTGATTATCGTTTGTTGTCATTGACTGATTACGAAATCTTTGACTATCTGTTATTTATTTACGTCGTTTTCGAGTTATACTAGAAAAGAAACTCTTAATTTGCGATGCTGTTAAATATTCATCTGGTGAAAACTTAAAACGATCATTTTCCTTGACGAATGGGATTTCCTGTGAAATCAAAAAAAAAATATTGCTTCAGCTGCAATGAGGATGATCATTACCAAAGAAAGTGTTTCTGGTTTAGATTTGAATCTTGTTTCTTCCCCATCATTGTAGGCGTCAACTAAATATTTTTTTTGTTTATCGGTAAAACGCGTTTTTGTTTTTGGTAAAGATAAAGCCCATCCTTTTGACAATGTAACAGTTGATTGTTCACTAATATTTTGAACAATATTGAAATTTTGTAAAGTAATGGGCGTTCTTTGATTATCATTTTCTGTGAGACTTTTGTACATTGTTTTAACTTTATCAAGTAACACCATTTTCACATCTTTAAAAATATGCTTCTCTGTATCAAGATGATATTGAAGATCGTAATATCGGCGATATTGACGAATACAATTTTCGACGGAACAGTCCCACAAGAGAAAACCTTAAGAACTAGATGTCTGTGTACAATTTTGAATGTTATCTGGATCAGTATCCATAGTCTCGTCCATGGTTGATTCATCTACGATTAAATCAGAACATTCCAATCAAAGTATATTTGAAAAATTTCATTTTATATAAAGTTTGAAAAAAAGTTTTTGGGTATTTTTGATATATGAAAGATTTTCAAAGTACTCTTAGAAATACTTTAAACATCTTGTAAAGTAGGAAATAGATTTTAGAAGTTATAAAAAATCCTTAAAACTTTATAGGTAGTAACAATTGCAAAAATCTCAGAGTTTCCAATTTTTACATTTTTTCTTTAACTGCCGTGTTTAGAAATCTTTGGAAATCTTTGAGAATCTTTGGGCATCTTGAAATCTGCTTTTTCCCCCTTGGAGAGAACGCCTTTTCTGCACGTGCACGATATTTGAATAGTACATTTGACGGAAAACATCACTGAAAGAACTTATATTTGCTGTATCGAAAGTAGATATGAATGAAATAGGAGGGTGTTTTTGTGTTGGTATGTGTTCTTGTCTGTGTTCATTCGCTTGTAGGAATGTATACGAGTATAATCACATTATCTGTCTAGTCCGACGGCTACGTCTGGTGGGAGCTTCTTTTAAGTATGATATTCGGATTACAGATTAGATCTCATATGATTTATTTTAAGCCAGAAGTTCAGCTGAACTCATATTTTTCTAGCGATGCTCTAGTAAACAACATTATTGACCGATGTGCTGGTAACCATACAGCTTTTTAGTAGAATTTTCAAGGAGCACGGCACGTTTTCACAATGGTGTCGCGAATGCGTTTTGCTTTGTGTGCTCTCAATAAGTTGAATATAATCTCTTTTTCTTCGGAGACTTGCGGATACGGCCGCCGTAGTGTAGTTCATTTAGATTCCTGTTGAGTATCAATGGGTGGGTATCACTTTGATTAGATAAATTTATGACAAAAATAATCACACGAACCTGCATATCATTGTACACAGTGAGATTGACGCTGATTTCAACGTCTACACACCGATTCATCCTTTTGAAACGTTGGATACTAGCTTTGTTGAAGAATGTAAAGCAGTATATAACACCAAAAGAGCCGAATATTCAGTCGAGAGTCAAGCGAGTCGCACGGACGAGCGTTACTTGTTTATTAGAGGATATTTCTTATCAGATACAAAATTCCCTATTTGGTATTGTGTATCATCTATATCTACTACCATTGTCAGTGCGTCTCAAGGCTTTGGCGGTTGTATCTAGTATAATTTTGAAAATTTTTCTTGGTACATTCTTGTCACCGACATTCATCATATAAATTAAATGAAAGATTTCAAAAGCAAAAAAATACAAAAAAGAATACTTTTACAAAACGTCATTCAAGTGATATAACTGATTTTTCATACTCATATGAATGACATTCTCATTTAATCAATAGTAAAACTATGTTAACAACAAGAATTAATAATAAAAATTTCGATGCAAATTGTATAACAATGGATACAGTTATTAATCCAATATCTCCATGTAGTTCATTTCGTTCATTAAATCATTCAGATAATATTAAAAAATTAAGATTTTTAACAAATAATTAATTTATCTATTTCATAATTTCACCTGTACAAACATCACTTAATAATTCATCGTAACTAAATATTAACAAGATTAATCTATCAACAAAAGATATAGAAAAATAAATAAATTTTCTTGTTTTCTTAATGAATATTATCAATTAAATCAGGTGTTGATTCCTGACCTTTTACTTATATAAAAAATCCAAATGATTGCACACAAATTTTACCTCGACTTCCACTAGATGATCGTTCTATTTCACCATCTGTTATATCTATTGATATGACACGAATCTCATCATTTGAAAATGACATTAATAATAAAACAAATTCTTCTGATACAAATATTTATCAAACTGAATGGAAACATAGTTTAAAACAAATAATGATGAGTAAAATACCATTGATTGAAAAAAATGTTATTTCTGTAATTGAACTTCCTTCATTACAATCAAATTTAGTTTCATCAAAATCATTATTTTCAACAATAATATTTATATGAGAAATTTTTAGCAAATTGAACAAAAAACATTTGATTCAATGCGATGAGTTAATATGCTTAAACGATTAAATGATGATGCAGCTTTTCTTTATTAACAAATGATTTGTTTTTGGAATTTAATGATTGATACGTCTTGATTTCATTATTTCTGTCATGTTTTAATAAAATCTATTTACCTATAGACATAAACATAATAGTTGTCTAGGTTTATTTGTAGATGAGTAAGTCAGTGATATTTGAATCCAGCTTAAGTCAAAACAAGATTTTTCAAGTGTTCTTTTCTTCGTGTAGACAGATCGAACTATTATGTTTATATCGATGGAGAAACAGCAGAGACTCCAGTCTTGAAGTCTACTGTTTGTATTTTTTATGAAAGATAAATTTATGTCGAACAAAGTTAGTTTTTATAATAATCGAAAATATTAATTAAAAAAATCGATATATGACAAACATCTTGACAATCAAAAAGATGTTAATACTAGTTTGTAGGAATAAGAATTCAATTAACTACTTATATTTGAAGTCTATTATTAAAGAAAACAAACTATCGAATGAGTTATTTTTGGTGATCCAGATTAAATTTTGACTTTAGTTTGTCAAAATATTATGTTAATTTAATTATAGACTAATAGATAATAAAGAAAATTTCAAAACAAATCTGATCTAGTTTTTAAGCTCTTAACTTTAATTTGTAAGTCTGAATATATGTCCTATAGAAATTTTCGCTATTGTTTGTTTGCACGTTTTTCACGACCGGTACCAGTTTCATCCCTGTTCTGGATCTATCATATACTTTCAGATTGTATAATCGTTTGACAATTGCGATTGATTTTATTGCACTTGTTGACTTTGTGATAAATAAATGATCATTGTTTAATGCAAAATATTGTTTAAGAACGATGACGTTGACTAGAATAATTTATGATATATTTATTAATCTTTAGACTTCATTAGAACTATAAATAAATCATGTTAAGAATAATGCAGATCAAATATCAAACAATTAAGAGAACAATTAAAACAAGCAACAATGTCTAATCTAACTTTGTTACCAAAGTACTTTCAATCGATGAATAGAAAGAAACTCTGAGATTCGAACTATTTTCATAATAGTAATTGATCATTTAAGATGAATATTAATAACTACACTAAAAGGAATATATTTGTTTAATTAATAATATTAACACATATAAATTATAAAAATGAAAAAGATTATAAAAAAAATTAGTAATCTTAATTCGAAATAATATCAATGTTTTCAGGTTGTCGAATACCATTAACAAGACCTGTTCGTTTATTTCTAATCACCCATTTTGATTGTATCTCAATAAAACCTGTACAATTTTGTTGTCCATCCATAATTCTTAAATCTTCAATAACACGTTCACTTCCATAATAAATATGTCGAACAATATCTTCTTTAAAACCATGACCTAATGTAACACATTCAATATCATTTACCCATATTGTATGTCCTTGATCCAAAGCAAAACTATAGACTGCTTCACATATAATATTCGTTGGACAAGAAACAAGTGAACAAGGTAATACCCATGTAACACCATTCAAACGAATTGGATGCCATGGTGTTATAATAAGACCACTATCAAGCTACATTTTAAACAATAAAAAAAAATGATTGAACAAGTTAAATTATAGAAAAATTTAATACATACTAAAACCATTTGTACTTGTCGGTTATTACAAATTGTTTTTAAAACATAATTAATTGTACCACCATGTGGATATAATCGATCACCTCGTCGAAGATCTTTAACAAATTTAATTGAACCATCGAATAGTTTAACTGTACATGAACCATGGAAACATGGATTATCCGCATCGTTAAAAACAGACATATCAATAGGTGCACCAGATCCTGCACGTTTTGGTGCTGGTAAATCACAAAATATAGCATCCATTTCATCTCGAACTGTATTAAATAATTGACCTTGACCATAATGTTGAACACCTGGATCTTTAAAATTATTACATTGTTGAAGTAAATGAGCACCTAAAAGAAACGAAAAAAAAACAGACGATAATACATTATTTATTAAATATTAAAAATAAATATACATACGTGTAATACTTGGTAAATAATGAATACCCCATTTTACAAACCAATCATATCGAGAAAAAGCAGTTTTTATTTGACCTGTAAGATCTGTAAGTAAATCAGTTAAATAATTATCATTAGTTGAATGATTTTTTATTGTTTGTTCTAAAGTTTCAATATTATCTAATACACTTTGTTGATTAGTAGTAAATGTTTCTTCAGATCCACGTAATAATTCATAACCTTTACGAATAATATCAACTAATTCAAGTCGATATTTTTGATGATTTAATAATTTAATATCACCATCAAGTCTTTCTAATGATTTACATTGTTTCTTTTTTTGACCCTGTGGAGATTCATAATCAAGTATAATTTCCATTTTTTTATATTGATCCATTGTCATTGGAATAACAACATCTTTACTTTGACCAAATGTTATTGAACCCAAATTCAAACATAACATAGGTTCATCACATAACTGTCGAAATAATGAACGTTTGATTACGTTAACAAGGAAAAAAAAAGTACAAAAAAAGGCGAAGTATGTTAAGAGCAATAACAGGGAAATTTTAATGCAAAATTAAGAATCGATGTGATTTAAACTGGACAAAAACCATCGGTAGACTGTTCGGTATAATGTGGCAATTGTTTGATACTTAAACGATCGGCTATCATCTAATCGCTATATACCGATAGTTGTTCTTCGACTGGCAATCTACTGTCAACAGGAGTGCTCCGAGGTCACTAAGATTGGGGACGGGTCGATCTTTGTTGCGAAGATTGATGAGCTCAAAAAATCGTTCAGTTCCACTAGGGGTGTAACTTCTGACTGTCATTATATCAGCGATAGCGCGAATAAACATGCAACATAAGAAGACTAAAAATGTCTTCAAAAAATAACTTGTACTTATGCAATTTTTAGAAGTTTAAACCAATGCTTATTTCTTGAAATATTCAATGTGAAAAGAAAGTCAGGTTTTTAATATTCAATATCTCGAAAAAAGAATGTCTCTGGTCTCATATAAGTTTTAAAAATAATAATAACAATTTAAAATAGAATTCCATAGATATGAATTTTGTTAGACAGTATTTTTTTATTCTATTAAGATCTATTTCTATTAATAATAAGAATTTGTATTTTTCAAAGCGATTTGAATTACTATCTCCCATTATTTTTTAACAAAGCTTATTTAATTAAACTATTATTTTTCATCCAGGGAATGTTCAGTATGATGATGGGAAAATTCTCTATTGTTATCTTCGAAAGAAAATCCACATCTTTGCAATTAGATATGTTTTATTTTTAGGTTGATTCGAATTTTTTCAATCGATTGATAATGTGTGATCGAAAGGTTTTTAGACAAGGTGTTTATTTACCTTTTACCCGCTGGAAAGTATTTCCGGCTAGTCAAAAGATATGAATTAGGATGCTCTTTTCGAATATAAACTTAGTTATTTTGTCCTAGTCTTTATTCGAAAGTAATTAAATAACCTTTGAAAAGCCCAAAAGTTTAGTTTGGACGAAACTTGTAGACCGACATTGCAGGTGAACATATTTGTCCATTTTGGTCTGCTTGACAGCATTTCAGACGGGTCAAAAACTATAGATTGCAACCAGAATTGCGTGCTTTTTTTGAAAGATCTGAAAGATTTGTAGAGCAGATACTTCTCGACAAAATGTGATATTCAACTAAGCTGTAGTTTTTATCCAAGTGAGACTACAAGCAGTTTATGAAGAGCTTCTTTCAATGTAAAATGGTTGTCAGTTTTTACTAAAATGAATATTTAGAAAAAAACGAAAATTGAGATGCCTTGTAGAAAGACAAAGAAAAACTTGGAATAGTGGATTTTGTAACCTAGCTTCTGATCTACAAGCTAACATGTAACGATTCCAACTTTTAGTTTCGAATCACAACAGTGAAAATACGATAATTTTCTGTCCAAACAAAGTTTTCAGGACTTTTCAAAGGTTATTTCATTACTCTCAAACAAAATTTCTCAGGTCATATTCGAAAAGAGTACGAAATTTTGATCCTAACTCATAGCTTTTGATACTTTCTAGCTAGTCAAAAGTGAACACACATCTTGTCTAAAAACTTTCCGATCACCCATTATTATCCATTTTATATATTGCAAATAAAAAGTCTCTATAAACAATATTAACTTACAAATTATTTCAATATATGTAATACTTCATGGTAATTTTCAAAAACTCAATTCAATATTCTACAGTAGTCACAAGAAGTCCTGCTACCGGGTAAAATTACATAAACTTCAATCTTCTTGTCTAATATTTTGACTGTAAATCGATTTCTGTAAGCCCTTAATTTCAGTTTGTTGCCTGAAATCCATAGACCTTAAAGCAAAACTCTATGGTGAAAGCATTGTTTTTTTTTCCGTAGGACCCAAAAAAAAAGACTTTTTAGACATATTAGTATAATAGTTGTATAAAACAATAAATTCTATTCGTACTTTATGATTTGATATATTTGTTGAATAATTACAAATATAATTCGATGATGAATCAAGTGCTGGTTGAATACCTCCAATTGATAATTGTAAATTTGTTGCTGCTGTTGTTAATAAATTTGAAATAGCATTAACAAATATTGTACCAACAAATGATCCATCTGGTATAAATGCATATGAACCACAATTACCTATTTGAGCAAGATCTTCTAATAATTTACTATCTAAATTATATCCAAAACCAAATGTATTAATTGAACATGTAAAATTAGTTTTAGTTTTATATGCAGCTAATGCTGGTAAATGTCCACGTGGTGGTTCAATATTTGGACAACCATCTGTAAGTAAAAATAATGCAATATTACTTTCTGTTGTTCGTTGTCCTTCAGTTAAAACTTCTAAACCGGTTCTTAACCCATCCCATAAATTTGTTTGTCCATTATCATTAAGTCTTTCAAGAGCAGCTAATGCACTTGAACGACCATCATCATCCATTTGATGTAATTTAAATAAAATTTGTGCACTATTTGCAAATGAAACAATTGATAAACGATCATTTTGTGTTAATGAATGAATTATTGTTTTTAATGCATGTTTAACAAGATCTAATTGTGATAAACCATATTTTTCTTTATCATTTGATACTCCTTGAATTTCAACTTCAGTTGACATTGAACCCGACGTATCAACAACACAACATATATCACATGGAGCACGAATACCAATACCTTCTGGTGGTTGAATTGATATATGAGTAAAATCATTTAACCAACTACTCGTTACTTTTAAATCAAATGATTGATTATTAACAATAGTGATAGGTTTTGATTTTGTAATAGTGTTTGATGATGATTGTTTATTTCGATATTCTTCAATACTTTCACGTAATGCACGATTTGGACGAAGATCATTAAGACGAAGAGGAGTACGAGTCTAGTAATCGAGTTATTGAAAAAAAAACACCATATTCTTGTTTTTTTTTTATATTAAACTTACAATAGGTGAAGTTGAATGTTGTTTAAGCCAATCTTCAATCGCTGAACGTTCATAACTATTTCCATCAGGATCAATAACTGGATCAGTCATTAATTCACGTGTTATTGGACAAAGAAAACTCGATGATGGATCAGCCATGTTTTTCTGTTACTCAGTTTTACTAAAGTAACACAATGTTAAAAGAGAAAAACAAAATATATTGTCGTCGCAAATAAGAATAGAATAGCTAAATGTTATGTTGAGTAATGCAAAAAAAAGTTGAGTAAGAGAACGTGCTATTGACGTCACCTAGGTAACATTTTATGTTTACCTTTTATCGGTTTCTGGTTAAAAATATGATGATTATGAATGATTGACGTAAATAAAAAAGAAAAGAAAATTTAACTAGAAAAATATCAATGATGCTGATCTCGTGTCATTAACTATTTATGTTGATATTGCACAGTTATTTTATTAAATTGCATTTCCGATTTCCTATTAACGTTATGCAAATTAACCAACAGAAAATTCTTTTTATATTGGAGTATGAAAATGCATTTCAAGGTGAAAATTATACTTACATAAAAATAACTTCATTCTTTTTTTCAATTGTGATAGTAATTGATCATTCATTGGGTCGTAGAATAACAGTTCATGATAATGCGACATATTTCATATATGAACAGTTTGATCTATAAGATGATTATTCAAATCAGAATAATTTAATAAAAAAATTAAAAAAACTTCAATTAAGATAGAATATAAATAATTACTTTCACTAAAATGAGAAGTATTCGTTTGAACAATCTTTAGCTATAAAAACAAAGCAAATAAATCAAAGAGGTCCAAGTGAAAATATACTTTTAGACAAGATTTTGTTATTTGACTGACGTCTTGTTGACGGTTGCCAATAATTTATTTTATCTTGTATTAATGGTATATCCATATGATCTAGAACATATATTAGTCACAAATTTATATGAAAATAAAGACAAAAACTATCTCTGTTTTTATTATTATTTACAGTTCACAATGCAATTAAGACATATATCCATAGACGAATCTGCATATCTGACTAACTTGTTCGTTCACATAATCGAGCAAATAATGCCAATATTTGCAGTTATGACTCAACACCCTGACTAACATGCCTATATGTCAAACCAATTTCCTGAAAAACTTATTTATATTTTTATGCTCGAATAAATTCTAATTGCGTAAATTCACTCATTTGATAAATAATAATTGAATGTGGTTCATCACAAATTTTGAATATATTTTCACTATTAACATGACAAAATCTAAATACAGTTTGATTGAAGACTATTAATCGCCTAAAATTAATTTTACAATAAACAACAAATGAATTAACATGAAATTTATACTTGTCTCATATCATCTTGTGCCTTGAAAACAATTGCTCCGAGACTTTCATATGTAAATGAACTTTGTTCTGATTTAGCTATTTCAATAAGACGTTATAATAATTGTTCATCATTTAATTTTACATATCTTAACATTACACACCGAGATTGAATTGGTTCTAAAAAAAAATAATTTATTAATATTTATATCAAACATAAAAATACCAATAATTTTATCTGGTGCATTACGAACAAGAACAAACCTTGTTGTTTTAGAATAGAATTCCATTGCGAGAGGTCATACTTGTTGTGTACTTTCTATCATACTAAATCACATCACGATTATTATTCTAATTGATTTTTTTTCTCCAACCTGTCAGTTTCATCAAGAATTATTATTTTATGTTGCTCTGTTGGTGAAGATACTTTTGATTTTGCAAATATTTTTATTTTAGTACGAACAATATCAATACTACGATCATTTGATGCATTCATTTCAAGAACAGCATCATCTAATATTTGTGGTCTAGAAAAATTAATTTTATTCAATGAAATAAATAAGAACAAAACAAACAGACTTTTCCATATCTAGGTACACTTGAAATAATTATATTTGGTAAATTGTCTTATTGAACAAAATACAAAATTCGAGCTAAATTGTTTTTGTTTTTTTCTACACATGGTTAGACAGAGCTCGACGAGCTGAATAAGATCATGTGTTTTATTATTTTTTGAAAGCCTTTTGATTAAAAAAAATAAAGTTTTTTCGATAGCTTGAAATGCTCCATTTTTTCCAAAAAGTGTATTCTCATATTAAAAAACTGATATATTTTTTTTTTAATTTAAAAACATTGTCCATTTCATGCGAATTGTAAAACTGAGTTTGTGAGAATAATTTTAAAATTAGTCTCACAGACTCAGTTTTACAATCCACATGAAACGGAAAATGTTTTTAAATAAAAAAAATGTATCAGTTTTTTTTAATATGAAAAAAATACTTTTAGAAAAAATGGTTCACTCAGAATTATTGTAAAAACTCGATTGGTTTAATCAAAAGGCTTTGAAAAAATAAAATAAAATACATATTCTTACTCAGCTCGTCGAGCTGTATCTAACCATGTACAAAAAACAAGAAAAAAAAAATTGAGCTCAAATTTTTCGTTTCTTTGTACCTTATGTTTTTTTAAACTTGCTGGGTATATCATTCTCTTTTGATATTAATTAATATCAAACATTCTAGCATCGTCTATATTTTTTTGCATTGTCGACAGTCATTGAGAATCGAAATTTTAAAAAACAAAAATAAAAAAAGTATTTTAATCAATATTTAATTATATCTTTCGTAAGGAAGAACCAACTATATGTAATTTGCTTTTAACAAATGAAGAATGGTAAACCTAAATTAAACATATAAATTTCAAATGAAAAATTCAAAAATCGTCTTTTATCATTATCTCTTTGCTCCTTATTCACCAATAAAGATGTACAAAAAAAAAGAATAATATTGTACCAAGGCCAATTTGATCACACAGAGAAAATACAAGATAACGAACACAATCAAGAGAAAGAACACAGAGAAAGAAAATTAAATGAAAAATATCATCAGTTAAAGTTTAAAAAAAAATTTCAATCGATCTAAAAATTTTCGATTCTTTGTTGTTGATGATGGAATTGTAGATAGATCAAGTATCGATGAATTTTCTTCGACATTTGTTGGTGGTAAAAGAGCAGCAGATGGTTCTTGGTTTAAAGTTAAATCTGTTGTATTAACAAATGAATTTGTGGATGCTGATAATGGTGCTTGACAGGAGAATAAATTATTATTTAGATTTATTTCACGTTTGTATTCTTTGATTTGTAAATCTTGATCATGATTTTCATTTATTAAACGATTAATTAAGAAATAATGTCTTCTTATTTTATCATTTAAACGATCAATATCTGATAATAACTCATTATACTGGCTAAATCGATCACCAATTAAATTATTTTCATTTGTTAAAGGATTATCAATTGGAGTTTTTTCACCTAATGCATATTCATACTGACAAAAATTTTCATCTGTTTGTTGCTCACGTTCTAGAATTGAAAAAAGAAAATAAATAACAAATCAATTGAAAATTTACTTTGCGAAAATTGTTTCAAAATATTTTCTAAATTTTGTGAACATCTTATTTGATGTTCTAATTTATTATTTAAGCGTTCAATAAGTGTTTCAAGTTTGGCATATTCAGATGTAACTCTTGCTGTTTCTGTTGCAAGTGTTTGTTTTGCTTGTTCTGTGTATGTATTTAATTTTTCTAGAAATTCATTTTGTGGATCAATCGAATCTTCTAATGGTCCATATTGATTTTGTTCAAACTTATCTCCATCTTGTGCAGCAATTGAGGTATTAGTAGATTCTTTCAATTTGAACACATAATCACGTAAAACTTTAATTTCATTCATTCATTTTTTTTCATGTTCATCATCCCAAGACAAGCAATCCTTGCACAGGATTCCGGTCCGGATTTCGTCGGAATCCGATAAAAACTGACAAAATCCGACAGAATCCTATCGGATTTTGCACGTGTCCGATCAGATCCGACAGTCGGAATCCGGTTCATGGGATTCCGACAAAAATCCGACAAGATACGGACGCAATTATTTGAATCCGACCGAGCGAGAATCACCTGGGATGTTGCATACACTACAAATAAAGAATATTCATTTATTAATTAAAAAAACTTCTACAAACTGCTTCTATGTAATTCAATGATATTTTCCAATTGTTTATTTTCAAGAATAAGCTTTTTTTCATCATCTAATAATTGTTTAATTTTAGCATCACGTTCAATTAATGTTAAACGTAATGAATTAATTTCTTTAGATTCATCTGCATGGATAATTTTAATGGATTAAATGAAACAAAAACTGAAAAAGAATTTCAGATAAAGACTTACAACATGCATCTTCGATATAATCTAGTTCCATTTTTTCATGAAAATGTTGTTTACAACTTTGACGAAAATTTAGTTCGAATGACAAAGGAACGCATACAACTACTATTAGCTATATGTTAGTGTCAACAGATATCACTATGTTAACGCTAACTAATTGAACATCTGTTTCAAGAGATAATCATTGTTCGACCTCGGTATTACGTGTTCCAAATGATGTAGATCGACCCGGTTTTGACCGATAAAAAAAGAATCGGATTAATTATGAGATTTGTGAAATTAAATTCTCTTGCTTTTCTATTACTTATTTGTGTCTGAGCTATTTTGTATTGATTTAAAAAACAAGATCAATTGATCTTTAAATAATGTTTGTTGGTGGATACAATGACAATATCGTCTGGCTTTATATATCAAGAACTGAAGTAGTTTATAATCTTCATCAAAAAAAGTAACGATCGAAATGTTAATCCTTGTTTTTCAACTAAGAATTAGATCAATTTGAGATTTTTTTGTCTTTCTTGAAACAGTTTAGTGTTGAGAGAAAAATTGTCTCCGAAATACTTTTCTATTTGTTCGATTTCAGCATTACGATAATAGTCCTTGGACAGATTTCAACAAAGTCTTTCAATAAGTAAAAATGTTAGTTACCTGACTCATGAATCACGACTATCATCATTTATATATAATTAATTCAGTTAAGGATGTTACAATTGTTCATTGATACGTTTCATAGTTAGCTAATGGATTTCTAATATTTAGTTCATAATTTGTATCTTATTTTAAGTATGATCTTATGTATCATATGGTGCATATAACACGTAAGAAATATTGTGACAATAGAAGAATAATCTGACGGATGAACCGTCAATGAGCGAAAGAGAATGATCAATGAGAAGAAAATGGCATCATCTATTTATCATAGACTAATATTTCATTATCAGTATTTTCTCTTCTTTATTCTCATAGACGGCAATGCGGAAAGAGAAAAAAAGAATATATATACAGGTTGACACTGATAGTCGATAACAATTCATTATGAACCCTCTAAATAAAAATCGTCATCTGAATATGCTCGATTTGCCCAACGAAATTTTGCTTTCTATTTTCAATAAACTCAATATGGTCCATGTTTTCTATTCACTTGTGGATGTTTGTGAACGATTTGATCAATTGGTATTATATTTATTTCACAGATCTAATCTCGATATGACTTCTATGACTATGAAATCATATCTTCGTCGCACCTACTCCGTAGACGATCAAGTTCTTAATAGAATTTGTGAAAATATTTTACCTCGAATACATCATCAAGTAAAAGAATTGATCATTGAACAAGACTCAATGCAACGAGTTCTTCATACTTTCAATTATCCTCAACTTTACTCTTTAACATTAATGAATTTTCAAGCAGAAAGACTTACGAAATATTTAATAGGTAAACAATTTAGTTTCAGTTCAATTCCTACAATAATGATTTTCAGAAACATCAGTTAAAAATCATTTTTCTTTCTTTTTTTTCTTTGAATTGAAGATGATGCAACCTTTCGTAATCTTCTTACTGAACAAATTACATATCTTAAAATTGATGTTCAGGACCAGACAATATCATCAGCAATGCCTGAAACTCTTTCGAATATATTTGCTGTGATTTTACATTTATGTAAACGATTGATCAGTATAAATTTTTGTCAACTCCACTATCGAAGAACAATGTGTACTTTCGACTTATTAATGAACTGCATGTCTTCAACTTTGACTATATTGAAAATTAATGTTAAAACATTCGATGATTGTCTTTATCTGCTTGACGGACGTCTTGATACATTATCAAAATTAATTATACATGTGAAAAGAATATCACATACATCAAAAACTCTAGATAACACGGTTAGTGTAATTGTCAATGGTTTAGTTTTGCGGAAAAACAGCAAATTAAAGTAAATATGTTTTGTTCTATTGCAGAAACTTCCCAAATTGAAACACTTCTCATTAACTTCATTTCTACGAACGATGTCTTATGACAATCTTGTTATTCCATTACTTCGTCGAATGATAAATCTTGAGGAATTGAAATTATTTCTGTCAATATTAAGAGTTGACTCGACTTATATCGATGGTATTCAATTATATGATGATATTCTTGTTTATATGCCACGATTAAACAAATTTACTTTCAACATAGACACTGATGTATTGCGCAAGAATACTAAAATTACTCTTCGATCAAATGAAGATATTCAACGGAGTTTCATTGGAAAAAGATATGAACAAGTTGGCTCATATATTCAAACTCATTCAACAGAAGACGAAAGTAGATGCCATATCTACTCACTTCCATATCAATTCAATATTTTTTTTTACCGAAGCAATTCTTTTCATGGCGGCATGTTTCATAATGTTCGATGCTTATTTATGATAGACTTTCGTCCTTTTGAATGCAACTTCTTCAAAGTCATCTCCCAAAGTTTTCCTGTATTGGCAAATTTACATATATCTAATGATGAACCACAAACAGACAAGCAACAATCAACAACATTTATTATGTTTCCTCGTGTTATTCTTCTCGACTTGTATTTTTCACATGTAGATTATGCTGAACAATTCCTGATTGATAAAAATTGTCATTTACCTCGTTTGCTCAATCTTGGCATCAAATATGAATCAATCAAAACGGTTACACACAATTTCACCAATAATGCGACACGTCTCACTTGTTCCAAACTGACAAGTCTTAATATACATGAGCCATTTGTTCGTCCTGAAAATTTTGATCGATATTTTCCTTTATTGTAAATAAAAATTGTATAAATAAAAACAAATAGTCTCAAAAATTAAATTTATTTCGACCATACAAATCGAGTTAAATTAAAAAATATAATAAAAAAAGAAAAATATTTTTGGTATGTTTGTACAAATAAGAGCTTTTATGTTATTTATTTATTTATGTATAATCTAAAGAATAAATCTAACATAATTCATAGTATTTTAGATGAAGCAAATTAAAATCACGTCTCATCTGCTCTCAATCAAGATATACAGTAAAACCTCTTTATTTGGGCATCTCTATAACAAGGGCATCTTGCTTATATGTGTACTCGGTGGAACGACCGATCAATTTTTACTGGAGGTGATCCTCTCTAACAACGGCACCTCCCACCTCTGAGAGTGGGCACATATAGTGAATATTTTAATCAGTACACTGTTCTTTTTCTTCTCGTCGCTCTTTGCTGTTCTGAGAATAGGAGAGATAAGATTTAGTCCGACATAACAAAGAAAATAACTCATCTATACATTTCTAATTGTGCCCTCAATGATAAAAAAAAGTATAAATAGTCGTGTTATTTGACATTACTCTTTAAAATCATTGAGAAATGACGTCGTGTCATTACCTTACGCTTGGCGAGAAGATCGCATTGATCAACAACTATATCGATGGAGTTGGTCTATCACAGTACGAATTGTGTGAGAAGTACAAGGTATCGAAGAGTGCTG